GAGAAATAGGAATGCTTTTCCACTGTTGGTGGGAATGTAAAATAGTTCAACCATTGTGGAGGATGGTGTGACCATTCCTCAAAGATCTACAACCAGAAATACTATTTGACCCAGCAACCCCATTACTGGGTATACATCCAAAGGAATATGAATCATTCTACTATAAAGACACATGTACATGTATGTTTATTGAAGCACTACTTTCAATAGCAAAGACATGGAACCAACCCACATGCCCATCAATGATAGTCTGGGTAAAGAAAATGTGGTAGATATACACCATGGAATACTACACAGCCATAAGAAGGAATGAGTTTATGTCCTTTGCAGAAACATTGATGAAGCTGGAAGTCATCATGCTCAGCAAACTAACATGGGAACAGAAAACCTAACAGCGCATGTTCTCACTCCTAAGTGGGAGTTGAACAATGAGAACACATGGACACAGTGAGAGGAACAACACACACCAAGGCCTATTGGGGAGTCAGGGGTGAGGGGAGGGAACTTAGAGGATGGGTGAATGGGTGCAGCAAACCACCATGGCAGACTACATGTATGTAACAAACCTGCATGTTCTGCACATGTATCCTGGAACTTAAAGTAAAATAAGTTAAATAAAAAAAGAACGTGCACGTCTTACATGTACACATATGTTTATTGAACCACTATTCACAATAGCAAAGACTTGGAGTCAACCTAAATTACCATCAATGGTAGACTGGATAAAGAAAATGTGGCACATATACACCGTTGAACACTACACAGCCATAAAAAGAATGAGATTATGTCCTTTGCAGGAACGTGGATGGAGTTGGAGGCCATTATTCTTAGCAAACTAACGCAGGAACAGAAAACTATATATCACATGTTCTCAATTATAAGTGGGAGCTAAATGATGAGAATACATGGGCACCTAGAGGGGAACAACACACATTGGGGTCCACTTGAGGGTGGAAGGTGGGAGGAGGGAGAGGATCAGGAAAAATAGCTAATGGCTACTAAGGCTTAATACTTGGGTGGGTACTAATGGGTATAGAAATAATCTGTACAACAAACGCCATGACACAAGTTTACCTATATAACAAACCTGCACATATGCCCCTTAGCTAAAAATAAAAGGTAAATTAAAACAAACAAACATAGTGCATGTCTGGAAAGAGCATATGGTTGGGTTCCGTGTTTTTTTTAAACCCAGTCACACAATCTCTGCCCTTCATTAAAAAGTTGATTCATATAGGTTTTTGTCATTATTGATATGACAAGTTTTAGGTCTCCCATGTTATTTTCCCAGTTCTGGTTTCTCTGTTCCTCTTGTCCTGACCCATGTCTTCTTATTAGAAACCATAGAAACAAAAGAGATTAGAATAACATCTTTAAAGTGCTGGTGTGTTTTGTGGCCGGGCGCGGTGGCTCAAGCCTGTAATCCCAGCACTTTGGGAGGCCGAGACGGGCGGATCACGAGGTCAGGAGATC